GACCCTTCCCCCGCGTTTGCATTGTCTGTTCCAGCAGATGGTACTGTTTGCATCAATACTCTGTAACATGCTGGGTTCTCCCCTTTCTCATCCCTCCATTCACCTAGTCACCTAGATCTGTCAACTTCATTTCTGAAAACATCTCAAATTGGACCTCCTTTCATCCTGCTGTTATCTGTGGTCCAGGTCTCATTATTTATATGGACTTCTGCAACAATGACCAAATTGGTCACTTCTGATCAAATTATTATTATTTTTTGCCCAGAGTAATCTTGTTGAAGTGAAAAGCATTCTATTTTTAAAAAATCCAGCTCAAGGTGGTGTGGTTCAGTAAATTGAGCACCAGCCTGTGAACCAAAGGGTCACAGGTTTGATTCCCAGTGTAGGGCACATGCCTGGTGTGGGCCAGGCCCCCAGCAGGGGGCGTGCGAAAGGCAACCACACATTTGATGTTTCTATCCCTCTTTCTCTCCCTTTTCCTCTCTAAAAAAATAAATAAAATCTTAAAAAAGAAAAAGGAAACCAAGGGAAAAAGGAAATTAAAAATATATATATATATAAATATATAAAAATAAGAATCCAGATTCCTGATCACCAGCTCCTGAGCCCAGACAGAATTCAAGTGCAAGGCTGTACAGCTAGTTGCCCTAAGCCTGTAAGAGGTGATAAAACATCACTCCAGCAGGTGTTTCAGTCTACTCACTTCTCTGGTATCACGGACAGTCTTTATAAGCAGAGAGCCAGATTGAAAGGATGTAAGTGGCCCTCCTCCACCTGTTCCGAGCAGGGAGAGGCAGAGTTCCAAGACTGCTCCTTCCCAGTCACAAGCCAGCCTCACAGGTCCCTCCTCCAGCAGAACCGCAGGACTGATGTTTTTCTTCTCCTAACCCAAGTACCACGGTGCCCTGTGTGGGGCTAGGTTTCCCGGTTCACCGCTGCCACTTCTAAAGCATCTTCCTCCGTTTTAAGGCCTCAACAACTCCAACTGCTTAGAAGCCTGCACCTTCAGACTCAATGTTACTGAGCAGCATTCCTTGAAGATTTTAATTTCAGGGTTGTCACACCTCCTTCTACCCTCACTTGTGGCAACCTCAGTGCCCACAGAGAGGAGATCCTTTGAATGCCATTGTTTGACTACTTCCAGTAGGGTCTCTCTTCTGTCTTCCACTCACATGAAAATAGCCCACATATCATTACCAGCAACTGTTCAAAGTTAAGCATGCCAGTCTATGACCAGCGCCTCCTATTCTTCCCACACCCTTAAACTAGCACTTCTAGTCAATTAAGAACACTTGCCAACTCTGGGACCAATACCAGTCACCAGAGAACCACATGCTTATTTGCTTTGACTAATCCGGACCCATTCCTGTCAACTCTAACCCTACACTCACTTTCAATACTTTTGTTCTCTTCTTCCTCTGAAGTCAGCTGGCAATGGCCTTATTAACCTCCCCCCACCCCACCTGCTGGCAGTTCTATTTCCCTGATACTTGTTTTCCCATTCCCTAAGACAACTATTTCAGTCATATACCACACAATGTTCATCCACGACAGTCCCGTAAGACTAGAAAGGAGCTCAATTTCCTCTACGAAATGGAAGGGTATGTGGCTCAGGAACTTTTTCCACTGGGATAACTATCTGCAGCACTTGGCACTAGATTCCATCACTCATAGGACCTCAATTATCAGTGCCCAGGTGACATCCCAGTCATTGATCTGTTTCAGCAGAGGAGCCTGTCCCCTCAGCACTACAGCCCTCCCAGCTCTACCTTGATGGTCTTCAGGGTACGTTGCTGTAATTCTCTGTTGGAAGACCTCGGATCCTGTGGAAGGACACAGGTCCACAGGAGCTGCCTTAGCAAGTGTTAAGTGCCACTGCCACGTTAGTAAAAGGTTTCTGTGGCCGTGTGGAGCCAGCCTGTCCCTCCCTGTACTTTGGAAATATTTTTTGGTTTTAATAGTTGGGGTAATGAAGCAAAAAAATTTCCTACGTCAAAACACCAAGTTGTCAGTTCCACACCCTCACCGTGAAAACACTCCCTCCCTTTTTTATGCTTCCCACCAAGTTCTTTTCTCTCTTGCTCCAATGCGCAGTAGCCGAAACCACATTGCTACAACAGCCCCCTATGTTCCTCTCTCCCCATCTTCGTTATTCCTCCTGACCCTAAGGCCAAGTTTTGCTCTCTCCTTAGTCACTATCACGGTGAGTTATCCCTTGCCCCGTTTGTCTTTGGTACTTCCAATCAATCCAGCTGACATCCCTGTTCACGGAGCAGCACGGATAGCCTTGACATGCTGTTTCTGGCCCTGTTAGAAAACAAGCAGGGGGATGGCTTGGGGACAGTGTCTACAAAACCTACAGTAGTGTTCAGCAATGTCCAAGACTTTACTCACCATTCTGGCTCACCCAGAGCAACTTCCAGTTCAGCAAGCTCCATTCCTAGTAAACACACTACATGAATGTGCCACATTTAACCTTTTATATCACGTTTTTACTGTACCTTTTGTTTACTTACCATTGTGTTGCACTGCCTACAATATTCTGTACAGGTTTGTAGCCTAGAAGCGGTAGGTAGGTTTGGTAAGTGCACTCTGATGTTCACAAGATGAAGTCACCTAAAAATGTACTTCTCAGAACACATACTCGTGGCTGGTGACACATTCCTGTACATCTTTTTCTCTTCTAACTTCCAACGTCTCTTAAGATTCACCAAGATTCTTTTAAATTTACCAAACTTAAATCAACAGACGAATTGACATTCTCAATATCCATGAACATAAAAGCCTTAATCTTTAATAAATCCTCACCCAAGGACACATTTATTTAGAAAGGGGGAGAGACATTAATCTGGTTGCCTCCTGTACACCTCTCAACCAGGGATTAAACGCACAACCCAGGTATGTGTCCTGGCGGGGAATTGAACCTACCACCTTTTGTGGTGTATAGGATGATGCTCTAATTAGTGGAGCCACAGGCCAGGGCCAGCCACTTCTGTCTTCAATACTTTTGCTTCCTCCTAGATTTTGAAAATACTATATAGTCCTAAATCCATTTCCTTGATACTGCCATGGTTTTTACTAGCTACTACTACAAAAGTTTTAGCCATTTACTGATAGATTATCCATTAATTTGACTGCAAATACTTGGTTTCTGTTAACAAGTATCACTGATCCATGACTTTTCCTTTCCACTCACTGTATTTCGCTGTACTGCCTAGGCCCACCAATATGACCAATAGACACCATCAATGTCCTCACACCTTCAAGGGTAACAGGATATACCATATGCCGGATAATATGGTACCTATGGTGCCTACTTCTCATCATTAAAGGCTGCAGAACCAGGCTCAAGGTCTGCCCAAAGTGAAGAGGCAAAGCTGCCAGCTAAGCCACTGCTGCTCTTGTTGCAAAGCATGGCTTCCACCCTCCTAACTGCCGATTTCTCCAAAGTCTTACGCTGGTGCTCATCTCCTTGGCTGACCAATGTTGTGAACGTGGCCTTCTGGCCACAAGATGAATGCATCCTCTGGGTCCTCCTAAGGTTGTCAGAGCTAGCTAATCCTTACCCAAGGTGAAGGAATTCATAGAAGTGCTGAGCAACAGCACACACACACGGAAAGAGGCCCTGGCTGGTGTGGCTCAGTTGGTTGGTGTTGTCCCGTACACCAAAAGTCATGAATTTAGTTCCCAGCCAGAGCACATGCCTAGGTTGCTTGTTTGGTCCCTGGCTGGGGTGTGCACAAGAGGTAACCAATGTTCTTCTCCCTCTCTCTAAAACCAATAAGCATGTCTCAGGATGAAGATTTAAAAAAAAAAAAAAAAAAAAAAGGTAGTTTTGTGTCTAACACTGGCAAGAGGATTATCACAAAAACCTTCCATTGTACTCTCGCCAGCACAGCATTTCCCCAAGACCAGGAGTTGGCCCCAGGTTTGGAATCAGAGTTTCAGAGTGTTGAATGGTAGGTCACAGCTTAGCCCACTGAGGTATTATTTCCCCACTTTATTCGCAGTCCCCTAGAACCAAAATATTAGAGCACTGCCAACCTTGAGCACATTCTGCCAAGGGGAACCACCACCTGGATTCACGCAGCACTGCAGGACGCCTGGATGTGCCAAGCTAGCCTGTTCTATATCCCCATCATCTTTTGCCCTGCCCCCCCCCCCCAAGCTGGCCAAGGATGATTCAGGGTCTCTTAACAGTAGCCACCAATTGTTTCATAAAGGTGCATTTAAGACATCATAAAAAACATAGCCAAAACAGGCTTAGGTTAAAAGGAGTGAAGACCGCAAAATCAACTTCCCTGACCTCCAGCTTCTTTAGCAGCCTTCTCATCAGCATTACGTTATTTGTTGTTACTGCCTCCTCTGACTACTCAAATGAGCAGCGTTTGAGTTTACTAAGCTCATCAGGCCCTAAGGCAGACACTGGTAACTCTAAGGTGCGTATCTAACTGGCACTGAAATAACTCTCCCACAGGAACAGAAGTTGCTAGAGCATGACCTGGCTCCTTTACCACAGCCTCCCAGCAAAAGGAACTTACAAAAAAGAAAATGACCAGACTACCACAGCAAATTATTTTGTGATTTTTAGTATGTGCCTACATTAAGCTAAGGGTACTATTAAGGACTTACAAACCAAAATAAAACAAGACAGAAATTTACACAAAGACAATTATTTAAGACCTTTATTAACAGGTGCTTGCAGTTTGTTGACTTTTTTGAAAAAATCAAGTTGTAAACTTTTATTACAAATTAAAAATGAGGTTCTTAAAAATCTCAACTTGACCAGATATGAAACAATTTAAAAACCTTTAAAGGTGTATTGAGAAAAACCAGGCTTATTTTTTTTTAAAAAACACGTTTGTCATTACCAAAAAGAGACGTCTTTAGATAAAAATAATAAAAACCCCATGCTGCATAGATAATGCAGATAGTTCTAGTCATCTGGTCAACGGGCAAAAAGCAAGCACTTAAGGTCTTCAGCTCCAATCTTTTGTTCATTTCTTATTGCTGGAATTTCATATTCATTTCTTCTTGTTGGATGACTAAACTGTAAAAGGAAAAGAAAAAAAATTATCTTGTATAATTCACTGCAATGTTCTTTCAACATACCTGATGGCTTCAGATGACACTAACTAAGCAAGGAGGGCATTCACACACCTCCAACTGTTTACCCCAGCACAGTGACTTACAACAGGGGTGGACACTGCTGTCCCTACGTGGTTACTTGGAGGTTTCGGCATGACCTTTGCCACCTCCAAAATACAAAGGGGTAAAATCCAAAAGCATCAATGGCTAAAAAATGCTAATTCCAACAATTACAAACCTCTCAGTATCACAATAAAGAAGGACTATCTTACTTTTGAAATTGATGTCAAAGTTGCCACTTTCCCCCAAGAGGCTATACTGGTCATCCTGATCTAGGCTATTAATTCTAGTAGCCACCCCACTTCTTTTTAAAAAGGCACAATAACACAATGTATAACACACTTCTTAGGCCAAGGCTAACAAGACTTTTCTCAACTGGTGAAATCACAGAATACGTTCAGAAAAGTTTGAAAAAGCCCTAAAATATTTTAGATAACAATGTGAAATGGGTTTTTCTCTTGCATTAATGAACACTACTCTTGACTGCTCAGAGGCCAGAAGGTCACTTAAGGTTAATTTAGGTTAACTCACCCGGATGATGGTAGAGATGGTAAGCCGGCATTTACTCAGCCCCGCCCTGCTCAGCCTCGGGAGCGGACGAATTCTCAGCTGGTGGATCGGCTGCTTTTGTCTCTTTGCCATCTTGTGGTTTAGGGTTTTCTGGGCGTCTGCGTCGGTAATTGAAGTTGCGGCGGTACCGACGTTGAGGTGGCTGCTGACCTTGGGTCTCATCTCCTTGATTTTCCTTATCTTCTTCATTGCCGTCCTCTCTAGGCTGTCTTTGGCGAGGAGGGCCCCTGGAATAAACATTGTGCAAGCCTGCAATGATGAAACTTCTTTCTTTAAACCACCCGCTAATGTAACACCATTAACGGGTTCTTTCTGTTTATTAAGTCGTCTGCAAGCAGTTTAGCAAAAACAAGAACAAATGTGATTTACATCTCATAAACTGAGTGAAGACTTTGTATAATACTTGGAGAAGTGTAAACTTATATTTTCTTTTTTTAAAGCTGGGGACAGGGAAGCAGGAAGAGCCTAGGACAGAAAAAGCAAGACAGGGACTACGTGAGGAAATGAGCCCAGGCTGGGCTGTTCTGACTCATTATGAAGTCAGAGAAAAGGGGGTCTTGGGGACAGGTTCAGGGGGTGAGCCCTGAACAAGCTGCCACTGCCCACTGCTACCTGGTGCAAGTCTCATGGGGACCCTTAAGAGTTTAGGAGATGCCCACCTGTTGGGAAGAATGGAGGGAAAAGGGAAAAGGCCTGGGTGTGTTCTTAGGAGGGAGAGCACACTGGAAGATGGGTATTTAAAACTGGTTTTTGGACTAGCAAACTTTTACCAATAGTTTAATCTATTTCAAAATTAACCATGAAAAGACTTCAAGAGTGGCACAAATATAACAGCTGATGTCATTTTATAACATTTTAAATGAGCTCTATAGTAACCATGTTTGGGAACAAATGCTACTTAACCTTTATAGATGAACACTAGCTTAAAGGCAGGAAATCAAAACCAAAAAGATGCTCTCCTCATATAAATGAAAATATAATCATTGAGGACAGGTATGCAATTCCACTTCATACCCACTAGGATAGCCATGATCAAAAAGCCAAAAAATAACCAAGGTTAGTGAAGGTGTGGAGAAATTAGCTTTAAAAAAAGGGGCAAACAATCCAACTGTGTATCCACTGATCAGTGGAGAACCAAACAAAAAAAGATAGCCACAGAACAAAATATAACTGGCCATAAAAAGAAATGCTACATGCTACAACATGGTCTGTAAGTACAGGCTAAGTGAAAAAAGTCAAATATATCAGGACTACAGACAACAATACCCGGACTTTCAATCGTCCAAGACATGGATTTCTTTTGACAGTGATTACAAATGTTGACAAGTGATGTTTTCTTGGTCTTCTCCTCCATCCACACTGAGCACCCCACAAAGTCCCAGGAACACCAAGATTATTATCATGCCTTTGGTACATACATTCTGGTAACTATGGACTTTAATTCCCATTTAGAGTTCTACATTCCATTTTCTACCTCTAAATCCCCCAATCCCCCATCTACTTCTCCCAACCACTCCTTCCTTTCCTGAAACCCTTTAAACCTATCTACCTATAAACACACCCATGGTCTTTGGCAAAACTGCTGTGGCTTTCCCATGCAGCCTTCAAATGGTGGCCGTCTCACCCCACCACTGTGGCTTCTAAGTTAATTCTCCCCATTTCTGTCTAAAACCCCATGGCTTCAAATTTCATGTTAGGCGCCGTTCCCTTTGTGATCCTTTTCCTGCTGTAGTTATGACAGACCCAAGTAACCTTGGCTTTTACTCTTTACCTCCCATCCTGTTTTCTCAATTTTAAGCATTCCACCATCCAATCACTTCTTCCTACTTTCCCAGTTTATTTCTTCTTGTTCTCCCATCCTTTATTTCCACTAGGATCTATAATCCAGTGGATCCTATCACCTATGTCCCTAACTCTCCCTTAACCTTTTTCTCTCTTTACCCAATACAAAGTCCACCATTAATCATTATAACCAACCCCAAGCCTAGTTACCTTCATTTGGATAAACAAATACTACACAAATCCAACTCTGCCAAATCTGCACCTGTTGTCCAAAATGGCTAGAAAAACATAACCATGCTGGCAGGCCCACTTTAAATTTGTAATCACTATTCTATTGTTTGATTCCATGTTTCTTCTAGAGATACTTTAACATCTTTGACCCTAACTCCCCAAACCTTCTCTTACTTCTCCTTCTGACTCTACTAATATATTAGTGCCCATGTACTCTGGGCTTCTTATGCATGAAACACTCATGATTCCTAGCAAAAGACCAATCTCCTACTTGAGTATACTGCCTGTTAGTTTTAGAAATCACATTTGGAGACTTAACCGTTACACCATTTTATTCTACCACTTTAACACCAGCAATATTGCTTCAAAGTGTACTACAATTTGTGTATTAAACATGTCTGGCTGATGGAGCTCCTCCCCAATTACTCTATACTCTAATATTTAAACACCTGTTAAAAAGGATTTTCTTCCTAATACCCGAGTAGGTAGGTTGGTCATTCAAGTCTGAAACTGGGTTTCTTTCCCGCAAAATACAGATTTAAAAAAAGAAAAAGATTTTTAGAGAGAGGGGAAAAGAAAGGAGGAAGAGGGGATGAGAACCACAAATGTGAGAGAAAATCATCTATCAGTTGCCTCTCCTATGTGCCCCAACCAGGGACCAAACCATGAACACTTCACTTTGCAGGATGAGCGCAAACAAGTGAACCACACTGGGTCAGGGCCCACTAACAAAAAGAGTACATACTTAAATTGAGGAATTATTAATGAAAAATTATGCCATCTCCAGAGGTAAAACTCTCAATTCTTCATTTATGGTACAATACAGGTCAGATACTCCTCATACTTGAAAGGTAATGTTCACCTTTACCCTTCTCCCTACCAAAGAAGGTCTTTAAGATAAATACAGTTTAAACTGTTTTCTTAACCTATTCAAGAACAGAACATTTGAAGCTCTATACCCTCATTACAGAGAAGAAAAAACAAACACCCCCAAAACAAATAAGATCCCAATCCTGTAGAGCAGACCCCATCTACAGCAGGGGGGGCAGAGGAGGGAGAGTGAAGATGCGAAGAACAGTCTCAAAGATAACTGACTTCAGGTTCACCTTAGACATCTGACTAAAGAAAATGTGAAGTATTATTCAAAAACACTACAGGAGAAGCACAAGCCCTAAAATATGCTTGGAAATTTTGAAAATAAAACTCATACCTGCGAAATCGTGGTCTGTAGCCCCGATACATATTCTGTCTCACTGGTCTACCTTGTTCTCCCGCACCCTGGTTGTCAGCACCCTGAAAGGACAATGGACGACCAAGCCAACTGGGTCAGTACTGGATCAAAAACCCAACAAGACATATCCAAAGTCTTAAGGTAGGGTTAAAAAATGAAATTATCTAGTAACTGTGACTATGCCATCGATTAGTTATTAATCCTTTTGGTTCTTACTAGGAATTAAAAAGTACCTCCCATTATGATTAATACAGGCCCATACAGGGAAAACACCAAGGGCCTAAAACGCAGTCCTACCATAAGTTATTGTATGCTATTGTTGATCCTTTTACTTTTCCACAAAACTTACCTCCATCACTTCTCCCTGCACAGGAGGGTTGGAATATTGTGGTCGACGCCCATAGGGTCTCCGCATGTAGTAAGGTGGGAACCGTCGCCTGCGGTAGGGCCGGCGCTGTTGGGCCTGGCCTTCAGGAGCACTCTCCGATCCCTCATTCTTTTCCCCACTCTCACTATTCTGGTAATTCTGCTGGTAATTGCGTGGAGGACCCCTGCGACGTGGATAGCGTCTATAATGGTTACGGTCTGCTGCATATTTACTGCCTTGCACCGGAACTCCACCAGGGCCTGTAACATTTGCTGCCTCCGCACCCTACAAAAAGTCATCATATATATTGACAGTGACAATGGAATTAAGCACATTAAATAAAATTTACACAAAGCAAATAAAAAAAGGGTCTGTGGCCAGGGGTGCATAGAAATGATTAGGTATTAGTTCCTCACTGTTCTGATGAGATTGCCCTCTAACTGCAGCCAGCACATTAGGCTTGATGCACCTGTGTTCATGTGGTCACCTGACCCATCCATCCACATTAGAGCCACCATCCTAACGGATGAGATCTCCAAAATATTTCCACACTGAAGTCAAACCTTTACACAAAAAGCATCCTCACCTTTTCTCCTTCAACAACATCAAACTCCACAGTCTCTCCATCTCCTACACTGCGAAGGTACTTCCTGGGGTTATTCTTCTTTATGGCAGTCTAGTAATATCACATTCCAAAAATAGATTAACAGGGGATAATAATGTGCTTTTTCATTTAAAATGTACCAGAGTCAATATTATTTTAGCTTCTATATATTCACTTAAAATTAACTTTAAATAACACCAAACCATCAATATAAATATACAGAAACAGGGACCAATGCTACCCCCAACCTCAACCAAAATACTCCAGAGTCTTACAAGGTCCCAACATTTTACCACAATTTTCCAAACTAAAACAAGTAATTTAACACTCAAGACACAATATATGCATTTTTAAATGCTTTAGCAAAAGCACTGTATGTTGCTTTGAACGAAATGAGGACATCAATCTATCCCCCAAAGACTGCACTTAGTAGTAGACGCTAGCCCACCCAGGGCCAGTTTAGATGACAGGCGAGTTTAGTTTTGCATGCTTCAAAGTTGACCAAACCAACTTTGCCCTGTGTTACCATAGCAAACTCAATTACAGATGTCAACCCAAATCCTTTCAAACCTGCCTGTGATAATACTTCGATGGGATGTAATTCACTTTTTGTGTTATCTGACTACATGGGACAATTGGGTTATTACCATCCCCACAATGCATCTCACCTTTCTTTGTTCTCCAGACTGCTATGACAAAGTAAAAGGGGAAGAATAACACCTCACATCTGTGGGTAATACTTCCACAAAGTTCCTTCACACGTTACCTATTACTCTCATTACTACATGATGTGAGGTATTAGTACTCGTTTAACAGATAAAACAGGCTTTAAAGTTAGGTGACTTGCCCAAGGTCACAGAGATAATTAGTGGCAGAGTGTAGACTTTTCTAAATCCAGGTCTTAGGACTCCAAATCCCATGTTCATTCTACTACATCACAGCAGTATCAGTACAGGATCATTCATGCATTTCCATTCCAAAGGAGGGAGGACAACCAACAATCCGAAGCTAATTAAGCTAAGTTGCCCGGAACTGCAGTCTCCTTGATACATCACTATGACCTGAGCAGCCAAAGTCCCACAGAAACAAGTAAATGTTGAAACCACTTCCAAAAGAGAACATATTGGTGACACCTTGTGGTTCAGAACAAGTGGGTGACACACAATCAGCCAAATAAATGATCTCATCTGTCATCTAAACTGTCACAAAGTTTTCGTACCTTTCATGTATAGCCAACTCTAAATTACCTGCAGTCATAGGGGATAGCAGAAGTATGGATAATTAAAATCCCTAAACTCTTATTTCAGTCAGCACCTTCAACACCCTCCCCAATCTGCCCCCAACCTTTTAGTGTTGCTAACAGGCAGCAAGACTGAGAAATCTTGCTGTCTCTTAGTCCTAAGTCCGCATTTTTGAACATGCAAAAGAGAAGGAACAGCTAAAAGTTGGCATTCAATTTTATAAAACAAATACTTGTTTTAAAATAACATTTTGCCTGAGCAGCCCTGTATTTGTATTTAGAATTTAAATGTTTCTATACTTATCATTGATCCTGTGATTATCTGATAGGGCTTTGGATGTACCAGAAATTGATCTGGCTTCCCCCTTGATTGCCAGTGAATGCTTTATAGGACACTTCAAGAGAGCTACAAAGCACCAACCTTCTAAGGCAGCCCTTCTTAAGTATGTTGCCAGGTTCACACTGGCTTGAAAAAAAAGGATATGTATGGAAATTGGCTTGTTAACAAAAGTCCTTAATGCTCAAGTATTTTCCAAAATATTTTCATTAAATGGCACTTGAGAAAGTTCAGCATGTAGACCCTACCCAGTTTGTTTTTTCCCTCTCAAAACACTGAAGTCAATTGAAAAGTTATTTCAAGTTCCCAATCTGCCACATTGCCCCTTCATTTAGCCTTAAACCAGGCGAGGATTTCTATAATTTCCAAGCCAGCCAAAACTCTCCAAAGGTAAAAACATATCTTACCCACTCAGTGCTTCAGGAAAAAAATGAAAGGAACCATGTTACTTTGCTAGTTTTCTAGGATTCATTTCAAATTAATGTCTTCAGCTTTGTCCTATTCCCCCCTTCATGATTATTGTGTTTTCCTTACCATAAAGGCAAACCTAACGGCATCCGAAAACAACTTATAGTTCAAAGTTTAGGTTAATGGAGGTTTATTGCTCATCTGAAATTAGGTTTAAAAATTGAGTGTAATGGGTTGAGCAATTCAACATTTTAAACTATTAAACTATTAAAAAATACCAATTTGAAACATCTATCTTAAGTGAATTGCCAGTACATTTATACATTCAAGCATGCTAGAACTCTTACTATAGGAATTAAAGACATTGCTTGGTGGTTGGATTTAAAATGCTTTTTGCAAGGAACAATAGTTGAAAAGACAACCACCTTCCCCCTACTTCTCAAAAGCCTCTAGCCAGAAGCATTAACATCCACACAAGCACCCACCTGGTGTACAAATACATCTTCCTTGGTGTCATTCCTGCAAGACAAAGAACCAAGTTGAACAAGTTAAAAATGGAATAAATTTCATGTTGCCAAAGATTAAGAATACACTGAGTCTTTTATGCATCTCCCGCCCCTTTTTCCTATTAGAGACCTTTGGGCTCCCAACTGGCCATATTAAAAATGAAACAAAACAATAAAATAACAAGCCACTATGATTTCTGCTTTAAAGACTAGGCAGTTGCCAACAGTTAACTTTATCACCTGTAGGATAAAACAAAGTCTAAGACACCAAAATGTGACCTATTAAGCCATGCAGAGGGTAGAAGTGACTAGCAACATGTATTATCACTCCTCATCCTACTAAACATTACCAATGTTCTAGCACACTCCACTCACCTCTAGAGCACGGTTACTAGCTTAAATAAGAGACCACAAATGTATTTCCACCCATTAATTACTAGCTTCCTTCTTTCTCCCTTCATCCTCAATCATTTCCTCTTCACCATTTCCTATTCCCAAGTCTCCTTGAGGTCATAAAAATGACCACTAAGAATCCCACAGAACGTACAACACTAGGAGCAAATCCTAATGTAAACTATCGATTACAGTAGATAATGATGCGTCCATGGAGATTCATCAACTTTGGTACAGGATGGTGGGGGACTTTGTGCACCTGTGGGCATGGGGTACACAGGAACTCTTGCTTTTAGCTCAATATTTTCTGAAAAATAAGGTATTAATTAAAAAAACACCATAATGAATCACAAGTATGGACATCAATATCCACATCATTCACATGACCAGCATTATACTGGAGAACTAAGCAGATAAAGGTGAATACAATTTTTAACTAGCACACACAACACTTTTGCTTCATTTTACATCAATCATTAGTCTAGTCAGTCTACTGACAGGCTTTTAGGTAGAAGACTGTGACATGATACAAATTATTGGATATTAAAATCCAATGGCTGCTATTATGAAAAGCCAAGAGGTGCCCAGTTAGTTCCAAAAGCTACTCCAGAACTCTAGGCCAGAACTGATGGAGGCCTGGACACAACAAAGTGTATTTGATGTGTCTTGAGGTAAAATGGGAAAACTTTGTGGATAAAAAGATGTTAGAAGCAAGAGGGAAGTGGAGAATTACTTGTGTTTTTTAGCTTGGGGGTTGGGGTTAAGGTGATGACACTATAAACAGGAAGAACCATCAGAAGCGAAATCCGGTAGTTCTAGTGCTGAATTACAAAAGGAACAAAAGTTACAAGGAACTAGACTGACTCACTGACTGACTGTTGGCTCTTTGTTGCTTCATGGAGCAGAGCATACACCCAAGAATCCACACAGCCTGGAGTATCATTAATATGAGGATATATTTAATTTATGGAAACAGGACAATTTTAAATCTTTAAAACAAACAAAATGCACACACAAACTGCAAAAGCTACTCAAAGTATATGACTGAAAACTGACCTTAAAAGCTAGTTGAATACTAGGGACACTAGGGAATTAATGGCTGGTTATAATGTCCATCTATGAACAGTTTCCGTAGCCATCACTAATTACTTTTCGTGTCCAATGATGGATTTTCAATCCCTAAGGTTATATGTGGACTAACAACAACAAAAAACTGGTAGAAGAATTTAGGAAGAGAGAAATAGGAAGTTGGGCAAAGTCTAGAAGAATGATCCTCAACAGGGGCACTACTGGCCATCACAAGGCATTTAAAATTGTTCCAAAGACTGGGGGCACTATTTGCATTATGGGTGAAGAGTGTCAGCCTTCTGGATGACTTGGTAAATAAGCATATGGTATTCTACTTGACTTTCATAAAAGCAAACTTATTATTTGATTTTTGAACCCAGTGTTTTTTACTTTTAATATACATCAAATTTACTAACTATGCAACCTCCATGGAGAGGAATTTTTTTTTTTAAAGTTGCCGATAATGCTGCTACTGTGTCTGGGTAGCCAATACAGTGCTCCTTTTATCAATCCATTATTTGTGGTAGCAATGACTATTCATCATGTCTCCTAATGAAGCTGGGAAGTACTTCTAGACCAACACATTACACATTGAAATAAAAATAATAGTTTACCTATGAATTTTACTTCGGTGTTGTAGGAGAAATATTTACAACTTTACCAAAACTACTTATCTAATGAGGGCAATTTTTAAAAAAATAGTACAAGGTGGCTCTCCACTCCTCCCAATCAAGACAGCTGCAACCCTGAGACATGATGGTGAAGGTCAAAGTGAATAGATTTGTCTGTACTGGGTGCCTTATTACTAAGGGCTTCTTTTAACCCTGGCCAAGTGGATATTGCCGCTATCAATGGCCCCTTATTGACCTCAACTACATGGTCTACACATTCTAGTATGATTTTACCCGAAGTTAGTTCAAAGGCAGTCAAGGCAGAGAACAGGAAGCTTGTCACTAACAGAAAGTCCATCTCCATCTTCCAGGAGATCCCACCAACATGAAATGGGGCAATGCTGGTGCTCAATTATGCTGGTTTCCACTAGTGTCTTCACTACCTTGGAGAAGGCTGGGGCTCACTTGAAGGGTGGAGCCAAGAGGGTCACCCATCACCTTTGCTCCTTCTGTAGATGCTCCCATGTTTATGATGGGTATGAAACAACAGAAATATAACAACTCCCTCAAGGTTGTTAGCAATGCCTTCTGTACCACCAAATGCTTGGCTTGCCCGGGCAAGGTCACTGATGACAAATCTGCCATTGTGGAGGGACCCATGACCACAGCCCTCTATGCCATCACTGCCACCCAAAAGACTACAGATGGTCCCCCTGGGAAGCTATGGTGTGATGGCCAAGGAGCTGCCCAAATTATCCCTGAGATGAATTAGGAAGCTCACTGGCATGGCCTTCTGTGTCCCCACCCCCAATGTGTCAGTTGCAGATCCCACCTGCCACCTGAAGAGAGCTGTTAAATACGACATGAAGAAGGCAGGGTAAATCAATCCCTGTTCAAGGCACCTGCAAGAATCAACCAATGAATGCATAAATAAATGGAACAAAGTGACAAGGGGGTGGTTGGGGGCAAGAAGGTGGTAAAGCAGGTTTCAGGAGGGGCCGAGGGAAGAAGAGGGTTATGTTGTTGCTGATGTGTGATACGTACTATGTAGGTAGGCCTACAATAGTTGCCATCTATATCGAAGGAACATACAGATATTTTTGTCATTACCTAAGTACAGTATAATGCTATTTGTATAGCATTTACTTTGTACAGTCATGCGTTGCTTAACAGGGATACATTCTGAGGAATGTGTCATTAGGTGAGTCTGTCGTGCAGAGAGCACTTACACAAACCTGTACAAGATGTTACTACAGGCAACTGTAAACACAGTGTTAAGTATTTGTGTATGTATACACAGAAAAGGTACAGATAAAGGTACAGATAATATGGTATAAAAGATTAAAAAAAAGCTACACCTGCATAGGGCACTTACCACAGATAGTATAGGACTGGAAGCTGCTCTGGGTGAGGTGGTGAGTGAATGTGAAGGCCTAGGGCATTACTGTACACTACTATATATTTTATAAACATTGTACACTCAGGCTACACTAATTTTAAAATATTATTCTTTCTTCAATAATTAACCTTAGCTTACTGTAACCTTCTCTATAAATTTTTAATCCTTTAATTTTAACTTAATTAAGTTGGCTTTTTATAACACTTAGCTTAACATAAAAACCTTTTTTATGTCCTTATAAGCTTTTTTGTTTAAAAAAATTTTAAAGCCTTTAAACTTTCATGTTAAAAATCAAGACATAAACACACACACAATTAGATCGGGCCTACACAGGGTCATGATCAACACTGTGGTCTTCCACCCCACATCTTGCCTCACTGGGAGGTCTTTCAGGGTAACTCACAGCACAGAGCTGTTGTCATCTGTCACCTTGTACGATAACTAAGCCTTCTTAATGGAATACCTTCTGAAGTACCTGCCTGAGGCTCTTCTTGAGGAGGTGTCACTCTTCAGAAATTTGTCTATGGTTTCTTTCTTCATCTTAGATTTGCTTGTAAGCAGATAATGCACGATGAACATTACTATTAATGAAAATCTTTTGGTGTTGGGATCCATGTTTTCAAACTTTTTAACAAGCTTATTGAGGTCTACAAAAGCTTCTGCTAAACAGTTCACTGTGAATTTTCTTGGGGGAAGGGTTTTTTCCTTTTACAGTTTTTAATTTTCTCTCACCTCTTCTTCATCTGAGTGTTCCTGTTTTAGCTCCAGCAACTCGTTAGTCAACTCCTCGGGAACCACATCTAGGAGCACCTCAATGTCATCCTCACCCACACCCAGGTTTAAAATTGTTTGCCATCTCAACCACAGTCTTGTTGACTTTTGCAACCTTCGCGCTAAAATGCTACGACAATTACAAAGACACTAGGCAATAGGACCTGAGCATCCTCAGGATTTCAGTATCTGCAGTTTGTGTGCGCGTGCTAAAACCACGCCCCCACGAATACTTGGACCACTCTGTGTAGAAACCAATACAGCTTCACAAATGATGTCATGTCAGAAAACAGTGTTCATTTATCCTAGCCTACTAGGAAATATAGTATAGCTCCCCTCACAAAGTATCCCTTCTGCAGAGAAAATATTAAATGGAAAATTCCAGAAATAAACAATCCGTAAGTTTTAAATTATGCACTGTTCTGAGTAGTGTGATGAAATCTTGAGCGATCCACTCCATCCCATCTATTATCTGAATTGTTCTCTTTTGTCCAGCATCTCTGCAGTGTATATGCTACCCATTAGTCAGTCAGTCACCTAGTAGTTGACTCGGTTACCAGACTGACTGCTGCGGTATCACACACAGTGTGTGTGTTCAGGTAAGCCGTATTCTACTTAAGCATGGTCCCAAAATGCAAGAGTAGTGATGCTGGTAATTTGAGTGTACCGAAGAGAATCTGTAAAGTGCTTCCTTCAAGTGTAAAGGTATGTATGTATAACTGGGGGGAAGAGGTATGTATAGGCTTCTGAGACTTCAAGCATCCACTGGGG